CTGTCTGCGCTATGTGAATGACTCAACACATCAAAAGGCGAGGATACAGGCACATACATGACCTTCACGTGAGCATGCAAATTAACAAGCCCTGGAAAGTTTTAACATGAAGGCCGACAGCTTTTACCTCTTGTGCTCTGAGACAGACAGGCACTGCAGGGGGGGGATGAAGCTTAAAAAAAAAAGTCTGTGTGTGTGCCCCACATTTCAGTGTCAAATCTACAGGGCGCCGAGCCAGGTGCTTCCGTGCCAGAGAAAAGGACTAACACCATGGCAAAGTATCCTAAGCATTTAATTTCATATGAGGGGCATATTGCTCTTGGATGATGATTCAATAGGGGAATGTAATGAATTAGCGGGTGCTGTGTTGGAGCAGGCCTTCAGGCTGGGAGAGACTGTGGGTGGCTTCCTCCTCTCTGGAGGTGAAAGTGGTCCTGGTGTGTTGTTTTGTTGCACATCCCATTCATCTTAAAGTTTAGAGCATGTTGTGATTATCATAATGGTGATGCGCGTGTTTTTGGCTTTGAGATTTTTTATCAGTCAACATAAGGCTCCTGACTAATTATGAGGAAAGCTAGAGGTGATTTTGGACACAGTTACTGGCATATTAATCTATCCATACATGCCCGTGCATGGATATCCCCAGGGTTTCATTTCCACAGATTTTGAGATATCCAGTTGTGAGATTTAGGTCTTTACAGCACCGTTTATTGTGCATTTAAAGGTTCAGTGCACCACAATTACAAGAAAACAAGCAAATGAAAAACACATAGTCTCATTTGCCTCTACTAGTTTCTACCTATGCAGATAGTTTTGGTTTCATTTGTCCAGGTTTGGATACTGTCTCTGACATTTCTGCCATGTCCACAACACTATTTCAATGGCTATATGTAACCGTGGACTCAAGTGTTGTCTGCGTTGTGTTAATATGAAGAGGCCCGACAGTGGATATCTTAGGAGGTGATCTCCGTTTATTCCTGACGATTCTGACAGTAAGAGGTAAAAACAAAATCTTCTGTCAATATATCTGGAGCCCCTCTCCCATGAACTACAACAGCAAAAAGGGGGTGACGGCCATGTTACATTCAAGTCAGTGCAATAAAACACAGAAAACATACCTGACAGGAAGAGGTAAAAACAAAGCCCTCCGTCAATTACGACCATATAACTTGAGCCCCTACACAAATTAAGTGACACAGGAATATATTGGCATATTACACAATAAGTTTAAGCTGAAAAATGAACTGATTAATTGACCCTGTTACATATATACCACAAGAAGTAACAAAAGATTTTTTTTTCTTGTAATTTGGTGAATCACCCCTTTACAGGGGACCTATGCTCATTTTCTAAATCCATACATGTTTTTCCAATGACCTAAGACAGTCCAAAAATGTTAGTTAACATATCCAACTCTGTCCCAAATCCAAAACCCAGAGTGCCAAAACGCAAATTGCAATGTTATCTCATATAAAGTCTGGAGCTGCTCCACTGATGATGAATGGGGGTAAGATGTTATAGATGATACTGAGAGCAGCAGGGGAATGTTCTGAGTATATGGGGACATTTTCTGTTTCAGACCTGAGGAAATTACAGTAGAATAAAGCTCATTTGGTTATTAAAAAAGGGGGTCACAAAATGAGTCTCCCATTAACTGTCTATGGAGCAGCTCCAGACTTTATATCCTATGACATCACAAGTTTGAGACTTACCTCTCTGGTTTCTCGCTTTGAGGGAGAGCAGCTCATGTTCACAAATATTGACTGAACTTTCCTTGGCCATGTAAATTATATATTGTTAGTGTCCCCTTATAAATTTACAGTGTAGCATGTTGGGTAGTTTAAGCATTTACATAAGTCTATGTAAATGTTTTTGACCTTCTGATTTCTTGGCAAACGTAAAACCTGCTCTACTCTATGCTGCTCTACTTTTCATTATTAATGTTTAATGTAATATGTTTTAATCTCACACTCAAGTGTTATAATATTGATGTAACCTCCCTTTTTTATTCTCTGAGTTGGCCTTTTTATGCAAATCCTGGTCAGCTGCCAGGGTGTTACTTGTTTTTGCTGCTTAAACTCTTTTGGGAATGAAATATATTACTGCTTTCTATATGTAAGAGTTTTGTGATAACTGTGTCTTCTGGATGTGATTCATGCTTTACATTTGATGACATGTTTGATGTGTTACATTTAATATGCGCCTGCATGCTATTTATCTTAAAACGGATGCTTTTATCTGTTTTGCTGTTTACATGAAGGCATGCTTCGTCCCCTCTGTGGGAGTATCAGACAGTAGACTGACTCTCAATCATGCAGATTACAACCACTTGAGTGATAAATGTGTTTGTGTCCATATATTGCTGCTTATTGATTTGAGAGCCTTGAACAGATGAATTTCATTTATGGTGCTCACAGTGTCGGAAAATTACCTTTACAAATCCAGATGGAACCAGTTATCTCAATCTTATGCAAATAAAACCAGAAACGACCTCCAAGTTTTTTTTTGTTTTTTGTTTGTTTGTTTTTTGGGAACCAACCCCTCTAATAATACCCACTTGGATCATGATAATGTTGAGATTATGAGTGATTAAATGTAAAAAAAAAAACCAAAAAAAAAAAACTAATGTTTTTACTGATAGATTTAAAAAATAAGTGAAAATCTGAGCAAAAATGCTGAATCCTTAACCTCCCATTTTTGAAATTGTATCTTTGTGTGTGACCACATTAGGGATGCACTGATCCGATATCTGGACCGAATATCGGCCCTGATATTATCAAAATAGATGGATCGGGTATCAGAAAAGGCAACCTATACCTGAGGCAATCCTTTCCCTTTAAATCTATTGTGACACGAGCTACATCATACGTCATGGAGCGAAGGAGAGAATCTGCTGTGTGGAGGTATTTCACACTATTTTAACTGCTGTTGCACAATTGTTTATTTCTGTTCAAAATAAATAGCTCATCACTGCATTAATCTGTTTCATCTTGCTTCATTTTATCTTCGGAAAGAACTGTGTAGTCATCAGTGCCTGATGCCTCTAGTCTTTTCTGTTCTACATGTAAAGATATATAGCTTTTTAGGTCAACAATGGTATCGGATCGGGATACTCAAAGCCACAGCATCGGGATCAATATCAAAACTGAAAAAGCTGGATCGGTGCATCTCTAGACCCTATCTATGTGGTAAACATCTGCGCCTTTCAAACTTCATACCCCCAAATTCTGCAGGCTTTTTGTTACAAATTTGTGCCCAAACCAAGAAAACCTTAAAGACCTCGTTGCCCTTAAAGTGATCGTTATGTGTGAAATAATAAAATGTAAGTCATTTCATTTGAAATATTTCACGTGCATCAGATCAACATGATCTCAACAAGTACTGTAACTTAACAGTAGGATGATCTTATAAGGAATAAGTGAGTAATAAGTAAATCATAATGTTTTTCTTCCAGTGAAATCTGCTCCTTTACGAGCTTTGTTTTAAAATGTTTATGCATGTGGCAAGATAAAAGCACAGAGGGTCTGAATATGTTAGTCAGACAGACTGGAAGACAAACACTGGAATTCCACATCTCTGCCTTGAGTTACAGTCCAACACAGACCAAAGCCTATTTCCATCTATCTATACAGACCGATCTTGCGACCCCAATTTTTTAAAACATACATAAGCCAAACAAAAGGAAGCAGAACAGGCTGGAGCTGCAGCCCTGCACATTTGTCTTGTGTTATTTCAAGAGCGGTCACACAGATGAAGGAAGGGTGTCAAATATTTGAACAGAAAACATTACACGCAAGACCATTTCTCTTTTTTATGATCGTCCTTTTTCCTTTTATTCACAATGCACATAAACATCATGTATTGTGTTTGCCAGTCATTATACAAACAGTTACATCTTGATTCCCTCGAACTGACCATTTAGCATCTTACACATTTGTAAACATTGTCAAAAAAAATTACTACAGCTTGTGTATGCTTAACTAAACTTATGCTACAATGAAAAATAGAAAACTTCTAAGAATAAAGTGTAACATGAATGCTCACAGAGTTTCAGAAAATGTCAAATAAAATGATGGATGCTTGTTTTGTTGCACAAAGCTTTGAGTCTAAACTTAAAGGAGTATTTAAACATCTCAGAAATGTGCTTATTGCTTTTTTGCAAATTCAGCTACATGTAAAAATTGGTACCACTCTCATGTCTGTCTTTTACATTTAGAGCTACAGCCAGCAGCCAGTTCACTTAGCTAAAGGCCGAAAACTTGGGGAAACAGCTAGTCTGTGTGTCCAAAGGCAACAAGGTCTGTCCACCAGCACCCCTAAAGCTCACAACATATTATATGGACAAGCTAGCTGTTTACCCTTGTTTCCAGGCTTTATGCTGACTTGACCTAAACTAACCAGCTTAGCCTAGAGTTAAAGTGGACCTCCTTCAATATCCCACTGACATTTGTATGCTGATAATTCCAAATCAGCAGCAGAGCCTTTCTTAACAGCATGTTGTGTGCCTTACTTCAATGTCTTTGAAAAACAATCTAACATTGCCACTTAATATATGTGTTTTTTAGTGACCTTTGATCAAACACCATTTCCCATTAACCAACCTTTGTGAGCTAAAAGGTCATCACTCCACAAAAGAGGTGTGGAGTGAACATGTTAAAAGAAAGCAGAGATAGCAATTAAATTCAAATAACTAATTGGAAACCATAACCAGATGCTAGAATCCATCCACTCCACAAAGCTGACTGGAAACGAGGTGTCTGACATCAGAAAATTAGTAAGTATTTCATGTGAACTGTGAGTTGTTTAATTTCAGTTTAAGTTCAGTATTTCTTGGCCCATGAAGGAAATGCTGAATGAGACACTGCAGTGAGTTACGGTCAGCGATGACATGATCATCTCCTCCTCTTTGTTCTGACCTCAGCCATGTTTTGTGTGTGTGCGTGTGTGTCCCAGCTTAAACCAAACACAAAAACAATTACAGAGGCTTGTAGAACAGAGGCTAGTGATGTGACATCATGACTTTGGCTCTTTATGTAACAGATAGATAAAAGAGTGGTGTCAAAAAAAAGAGAGCGAATAAACATTTCTTTACAGAAGACATTGCTGTTAACATGCAAAAACAGACACAAATCATCTGTTGAAATATCATCACAAAGGCAAGTAGCAAAAGTTTGTGGGTCATGAATCCTTGAAGCATGACTGCAGAACGCCTTTTTTTGTTTGTTTGTTTTTCTTCCAAAACAGCAGGGGCTGAAACATGAGCATAGAGGGGTTGGAAGTGCTTCAGTGTAAAATTCCACTGCTCTGTGTGCAGCCTTTGGGCCCCTGCAGGTATAGGTGTAGTGTGTCAGATTCCAGGCCTCCACTGCTGCAGGTGTAGGTGTAGTGTGTAAAATTCCACTGTGTGCTGCAGAGAGACATCGTTTTCAGTGGCGAGCGGGTCTCCTGATCACACTCGCCACCTCCACCCAACCTGACCCAAGCTCCACTTTATTGCAGTGGGGCATTTGGGGCGTTCTGTAGCGAGCTGGGTTTGCTGCAGGAGGAAATGGCTTGAGAAAAACAACTGTTGCGGTATCTAAAAGGCAGTCTGAAACAACATGATCAGGAAAATCAACACACCTAGAGATAAAGAGAAAGAAAGAAGGAGAGAAGAAGTAGGGCTGTTTCTATGGCATCAGGTTTTGTTTTTCCAAAATGGTGGCTTTAATATGAGACACTCCCTACCGGGAAGCAGGGAGTGCTCTTACCATGTAGGTGGGTAAGCATCATTGAGATGTTTGAGGTATCCAGAGGGGGTGCACTTGGCGTGTTTAGGAGTTGCCATCAAACAAAAGCAATGGTTACGTGCTCCACGTTTTCAAACAGGATTACGTGTTTAGACGAGCCATCCGGAGAAAAAAACAAAAACACAGTAATTTGCATGCTCGGTAGTCAGTATGGAAAGAGTTCAGCTAATAAACATTTACAGGTACAGGTGAGGCTTAACAGCACGTTCACACAGCTCCAAGGAAAATTCTAAAATGGCAGCATAAATAGTCACAGGAAAGATGCAAATGCAGCAAGAACTGAAAGCAAAAGGTGTCCACATGAATTGGGAATGTTGTAACTGGAGCAGAAATCTCACATTATGCATTTAAGAGAAGTGAATGAACACGTGGATCTCACGAGGACAATCATCACTCGTGAAGAACTAAGAGATATCATAGTTTGGGATTCTCAGTTAATGTAAAAACAAAAGAGATGGGATCACAGTATCCTGTTGTTTGTGATGGAGCCAGATGTTTGCTGTAACAATCAAGTCCCACTGCAGTGTTTAGTAAGTGCTGATTTTCAACATCATTCTCACAGTCAGCAGAGAATTATGAACATCAGCTCTTTGTGGTCAATGAACACCAACAGTTTTTCCCAGAAGTCGCACTCGTGCAAATAGAGCCAGATGAAAAATTCTCACTGTGTTGTATGTGAATGCAATCAAGAGGCTTTTTAACAGTAAACATTGAGGTTCTTTAAAAATTAAGAGTATGATTAATATACAGAAAAGAGATCAACATGATGGCGTTTTCCAAAAAGAAAATGCTTTACTTTAAGAGTCTACAAAAAAAATCCCTAAAGTTCACTTTATCCAGAGTCTTCCATCAGGCTACTGGTTATCATTTCCCAGGAGGCTCCAAGGTTTTGCCCGAGAATCTCTTTTAAGATACTTCTTTTTCGGGATTGCACTGAGGGAGAAGGGAACAGAGACGCACGAGGGATCCTCCTTCAGGGACACGATGCAGTCCTTGATGGCGTCTTTAATCACCTGCAGGGGACAAAATACAGGGGTTAAATCCAAAATGCCAACATTACCTCAAATTCATTGAGCTATATTTCAAAAGCTCAGGCAGTTCTATCAGTTATGTTTATTGTAAGAAGAGGTCTTTCTTTACATCATTGTCACTGCCAAACAGCACTTAAATCCGTCATTGCAGTTTAGGTGTGTCTGAATGAAGTGACCTTCCGATGAAATCAGAAAATAAATTGCATCACATCTGAGTCCTTACTCAGCAAGTGACTCAGACACAGTGAGTGAAAGTAAGTATGTGAACTAGACAAAACCTGTACTATCCAGTCTCAGACAGGCCTTTGAGATTAGAAATTTTCAATGTTGCACAACAAACTGATATTTGCGTAATGACAAGGCAAAAATTCAAAACTTCCCCACTGACAACACTGATTTAAGGCAGATTACCAAAGAATGACTGAGGGCATTAATGCGAATCAATCAGCTGATGTACCAAAGTCCTGAATCACTTTTTAACCCTCTGATGACCTTGAGTCTCACAAACTGCAGACACCACTATAAGGACAGAACTGACCTCCAGGTTGTTGAGAGTGTTGAACTCCATGAGGTCATGCAGTCGGGTGAAGGCCTCGTTGGAGTACTGGAAGTTAAAGGTGGAGAATGGTGACTCAGGGTCATCGAAGATGTCAAAATCAGCCAACTCCTTCTCCGCCTCTGTCTCTCTGGGAACACCTGGAAGTAGATTAATGAGTGAGAAAGTAAGGAAATAAATTTGCAAAAACTGATCCACTGGGAAAAAACAGACTTGAGACTAGGGGCAAAAGATATAATATGTTGAGCTGATCTTGGAAACAGCACAGTCTCACTTCAAGGTCCGTTTATTAGTTTTGCTGGAGCCCTTGATCCCATCACATGATCTTCACAGGCATTTTAGATGTTTTGATTTCATTTTTTCCCAGCCTCTCCTCCATGTCATTTAAATGTTGAGTTTCAAAGATCATTTTTGACCTTGAAAACAACTAAATTATTTGGTTTTCAACTTATAAGCCCACATGAATAGCATGAAAAAACTAGATTTAAGCTTCTGTGCAAACTCCATACTGCAATAAAAATCAATGGTGTGTTGAAGCACAATATGTATGCCTCAAATTTGACATTATTTGCTGGTGAAAAACAATATTCACATTAATTCTTCTCTTTACTTGTAGCCAGAAACAAGACATGCAATGAAAAGTGACGTTATAGTGCAAAACAAATACTGGAAAATAAGAGAATCAAAAATAAATGATGCTGTCACAGTTCATCTCTGCCTCACCACTCTGCACCTGCCTGCTTCAATCTGCCAATCAGACACACCCCTCTCATCAAGCCAACTCCTCTCACCTGTACTCTCTGCTCTGCTCTGGCTGCATTTAAGCCCCTGCTCCACACTCATTCATTGCCAGATTGTTCTCAATGCTTGCACCAGACTCTCCAGCGTTTCTCTGCCTGATCTCCCGGTTACGACCCTGCTTGCCTCCGACTATCCTGCCTTACCGATCTCCTGGAAATCACCTCAGCCTTCCGTCCCCGACCACGATCCTTGCCTGTCCCTTTCTGGGTTCTGCCTGTCTGCTCCCTTGGCTATCCGGTGATTACCTGATTCAGCTCTACAGAGTGAGTGTTACTCCCGTCTCCTCTGTAGCTTCCTGCAGTTATGTGACTCTGATTATTCCTTCACTGAGTGAGTACAAGACTGAGTTTTACGGACATTACTCACCAGTGTCCTGGCTTGGTTTGGCTGAGCCTAACCTCCAATCCCCACTAAAGACTGTTAAAGGCCAGCGGCCAGAAGACAGACTGTTTTGCCTACTGCCATTGTTTGCTGGACGTGTGCTAATAAAGTTTGTTACCAACGATACCTGCCTGTCTTTGTGCTGCTATTGGGTCCAATCCAAACCCATTACAGATGCAGAAGTTTGGAAAATTATTTTTAAAAGTTTTTCATTCACTGTAAGTAAAAACGTCTGCCTTGCCTATTGATTTAAAAATAGTTTAACCAAATACTCTTAAGATTAATTTACAATTGTAGTTTTTTTTTTTTGTGTTAGATCTTTATCACATATGGAGTTTCTCAGTATTATTTTTGTACATCTATTAACTAATTCAGGTCAAGAAAGAACTTAACTACTCAGTATTCAAAATATCCTGCTCCACTCACACCCGATTCATCATGTGCTTTTTGAGGAAAAATGTAACATTGATCCGGATTTTGGTTTTATTGTATCTTTACAAGAGAAAAGGTGAAAGACCACATAGAAGACTTTACAGTTAAAGAAGAAAATGCATGCATACAAGAGTGAACCAACTCCTTAATGGTTTGTCCTTCAAATGGGAAGTCCATTTATGGTAAAAAAAATTTCCGGATGTCCTTTGGGGGTTGAGTGCCAAAAGCTTATGTAATGTCCATAAACAGACTGTGGAAGTATGTGGGCTGATGACCTAAGTAGTGAATGTAAAGAGGCAGCGGTGGAGATAGCGTGATTTTCTATGGCTCATGATATATGGTCTGTTTACACAGAGCTCTTCCACTAGAGCGAGAGATTCCCTACCGGCACCTGGCTCCTTCAGGAACCATAATTCACCCGAGCAGCTCATAAAACACTGAAGTGTGTGTGTGTGTGTGTGTGTGTGTGTGTGTGTGTGTGTGTGTGTGTGTGTGTGTGTGTTCACAAAACTGTGGGTACGTTTAAAGCGAGATGCCTCATCTCTACTACAAAACCAGACTGACCCTGAACAGGGGAAGTTTTATCAGGGTCACTCAGATAAGGGGCCCAACTTTTGGCAGAACACACATGGTTAAATTACATTGTGCAGTTTCAAGGAAGGGATGCTTCATATGCCATGACGGTAAAACAACATTTTTGTAATACAAAGAACTGAGGCATATTTTCCTCACACATGCTGTGGAAACCTCCATGTATGCACATACTTACCAGGTGCCTTGAATTTCCTGAAGTTGATATTGACCAGGACAAAGTGGATGACAGTCGGGCAGTTCTTTTCGCCTTTTTTTGGTTTGAAGACGTAGCATTCCTTCAGGCCCTCGCGGTCAAAGACTTTAGGGTCGATCTTGGGGAATGGAAGCTTGTTCATCCGAGCCCACTTTTCTGCCAAAAGGAGTTCCTGTGGTACACATTTCCAAATCAGAAAAAAATGATTCATCATGATTCCCTGTTTCACAAATCATTTATGGCAATTCATGACTCTAGAAAGAGTTCAAACTCTGACCTTGAATGGAGGGCTGGAGTCGCTGGGTCTTGCAGAAAAGTCGAAGGAGATGATTAGGTTGACCGTGCGCTGCTGCCGCAGGATGAGAGGGTACGGAAGGTTGTAGGTCAGGCCGCTGTCCACTACATGGATCTTCTTGCTCTTCACATCCAGGGGCTCGTAAATACGATCAAACTCATCTGGGTCTGAAAAAACATATTAAATCAAATAAACAATGCAGAAACAGGATTGGGAAATTTTCTTTGAATGCAGCCAAATTTTGTTGACTGAGTCAACTAACCAGTGTGATGTACAATGAAAGTAGAGCTGGGTATCATTTGAAACAATTTCAGACCACAGCTGTGTTTCAATACCAAGCCTTACTCTCTCCCTTTTTAAGTAAAGCTGCACTAATAAATATTTTTATATAATATATATATAATGATATATAATAATGGGTTAAAGGGATTGCATGTAATTTTGAAGAAGTCATTTGTAGTTATGAACCCAGAGATTTAACACCCATCTCTGCAGTCCCCTCAGCTCTACTTTCAGCACATTGATTCAGTTTCCCTGCCTTCAACTTTACTGTTTTGGTTCACTTTTACCACTCTCATCAGTGTGATGTATCATGTATCATTCTTACCTGTGACAGCATCCACCTCCTCCTCAGGTGTAGGAGCATGGCACAGCACCTCAGTGGTCGGAGAGAACGGCATGCTGGTGTTCAGGTTCAGGCCCAGCATGAAGTTATGCACCTGGTTACGGAGAGACAACAGTTGAACAAGAATGCAGCCAGAGCACATGCAGTGTTTTGTATGACGTGCTGAACACGTGAACATTTTCAATTACCTTCCCAGCCCGGCCCTCTCTTGTGTTAAATAAGGATGTGTCACTGAAGAGCGATGTGAACATTCGTTCACCCCAGCTAGCCTTAGCTGTGCGATGGTACTCGTCTTCTGCCTCCTGGCTCTCTGTCCCACCTGAGCACCAAAATGATGACAGAGAAAACACTGTCAGATCAAATGCTGTGGCAAGGAACTTACTGCAAATGTGGCTCAGTGGTGTGGTGGTAAAAAAAAGTGTAAACGCACACAGTTAGAGACTTTATTTATTGCCTTAAATACTTCTATAGGTCTAAATAAAATAAGATTTCTGACATGCATTTGATGATGACAGACTTAAAAGGAAAAAAAAAATTTCAAACACGTTTAAAGGGCATATAAATGACATTTAATGGGCAAAACACATTAAAACAAACTCAAACAAATTGCGTGCTCACAAACCTTGGCTTTACATTACATGTAAACATTTGACGTGTTAATCACTAAAGCAGCGTTCACACCTCATGAAGAGGACTCTTTCAAATTATGTTTTTGACAGCCTGCTCCTCCTCGGAGTCAGCACAAGACTGTCCAGCCTGAAGAGCCTTTCCACAGGCACACTGGATGGCGTATTTCTATCCGCCCATATGGAGATAACTGAAGAAGGTTACGGAAGTTTTGACATAATTCTTTTAATTATTAACTGTAATGTGATCACTAAATTTAGAAGAGTAAAGCATTACACCACTGCATTACTGACAAATGTAATGTGATTACAGGTGGTGGCCAAAAACAGAGCTAAAAGAGAGTGAATATTGGTCATCAGGTGGCCAGAAACACAACTCCAATTTGAATGATAATTTTGCTCTGAGTGCTGGATGTGTAAACAGTGTAATAATAAAAATAAAATAATTTATTGAAGGTTAAAGTGTTGCGTATTTAGTAATGAATATCAAACATATGAAAACAAGTATTCAGTGACTTTAAAGATGCTATATTAAGTATTTTTTTCAAGAACAAGAAAAAGAGCCAGAAGTGATTTTATGACCAGTTCTAGACTATAAAAATATGTTTTTTCATGCCATTTGTACAAAGAAAATCTAAGTTACTGAAATTTGGCTTGCACATTATTATTAATGGGATCATGAGGTGCAGAACACACACACACACACACACACACACACACACACACACATACACACACACACACACACACAAAGATTGTAGGTGAAAGCTCAATGTATCAGCACTTCCTCTTGACCTGACAGAAACCACAGTCACTGCTCCGATGTAGCTGAGTCAACAATACCACAGAAGCTTAAAAAAAAGTGTTAGGGTGTTGACTTTCCCCTAACCCCAGTAATGTGTTCACATGTTAATTGACACCATTTAAAATTGCAAATCTATTGCACCATAGCAAACTTAATCATGCTGCACAATAAGGTGCCTGTTTGCAAACTCCTTGTATGATTCATGCATATCTTAGCTCACCTTTACGTGGCTCATCGTCATTGTCCAGAATGTCTTCTCCGACGATGTGCTGTGGTTTAATCTGCTCTGTAAGACACAAGACAGCTTCACTCATCAGGTTACAACTTTAAAAGCAGCGTGTTAATCTTACTCTACACCACATATCAACAGTGCACCTGTCAGAATGTTTTTGTTCAGTTGTGTGACATTATCAAATAGACTTTCTATTATCTAAGTCTTCAGATAAATGCAATACACCTGATAAAGTAATGCATTCTCAAACTGGGTGGAGATGTTTTTAACACTTCTGCACAAACAATGCACTGTCAGAGTGTGTATGATTGTGTAAAGGTCACCCCAAACAAATGCGTTCAACCAAATCAAACATCCAATGAGCTGTGTGAAGGCTGATAAATTCCCACTGTTACAAATACATTCATGCTACACAATCTGCATGAATCTGAAAATAATTCAGGCATGAGATGAAGATGAAAGAAAATACAGACAACACTAGCCCTGCATGTGTCAGTGAAAGGGTGTGCCATGGAAGTTATATCAGTTAGATTAATACAGACCAGAGACAATGGCATTATCTGGAAACAGACACTGTGACTAAGGACACATTCCAGATAATGTTCAAGAGGTTCCGAGAGCCACAATGTCATAATGTATTGTCATGTATACTACAAGGATGATACCCAACACGTCCAAGTATATATGGTATATTTTGGATAAATTATGAGTCTGAAATAGTCTTTTTATTTACATGGTACACTTAGTAAAATTGTGCTAAAAGACTGCAACATTGTGAATCAATAATGTTATAAATTGTGCACTAAAATATGTTTTTGAAGACATTTTCGATGAGAGATAGGTAATACAGTGCCAGCATCATGGTTTATATTTGATCAGTGCTGCCTAGTTTTACAGTTTGATCTGAGTTTGGTCCGAGAGTGCGACAAAAAGGGGCAGGTCTCCTCTCAATCCACTTCTATATTCTTTGTGTCTGTACCAGTGGGCATGTGGAAGTACAATCTGTAGTTGGAGCAAAAGCCCTTGAGCCAGTGATATGAGCGAGGAGATGAGCAGGGACATCTGGGCGCTGGTAAAATGGAGGGAAGTTTACTATAGTTCATTTACACATACTACCCATACTGCCACGATACAAAGCTGATTGAAAATTGGCAAAGTATCCCTTTAAAGTGCTCTGAAAACGGAAATATGAACATCTGAAGTTCCATAACAGCTGAGTGGACTCCATCTGCTACTGAGGATCATGTGATGTAATGGAAAGCCACTCCACAGCAACTGAATCGATCTAGTGGTGAGATTGTTTTGTCACTTATTGGATTTCTGTGCTGTTCCAGTAAATCAACTGATTTGCACTTAATCTGCAAAGAAACAATAGTTACAGCTACACATATTTAAATCAGAACAGTGCAGCTAAAGACAAAAAACAAAGAGGAGAAGCACAGAAAGATTACCTAACTCCTCCTCCATGGTGCTGCCACCAGCTGTGTCTTTGACTCCCAGCACTCTGTTGAACAGAATGGAGAAGGCGCTGCCCCACACACCTAACACAATGAAAACATACTGTTAGTGGGTTTACTACTGTAAAATGGTCCAACTGTTTAAGATGAAAACACTGTTCTCACCCATCAGAAAATGAAGAGGGTTCTCTTCATATTTCTTGACGACAGTTCCCATGAAGAACTTGCTACCAAACAAGTCGGGGGTCATGAAGGTGCCGTACTTTGCCATCCCAATTTCATACGGGCTGAACTCCACCCAGTCTGCAAGTTGAAACCTTAGTGTTAATGTAACGGAAATGTAACACATTTTTGGGACCAATATGATCACCATTTATCAAGTACCAGTACCAGTTATCAAGTACTTGTCACTGACTAATACATGTGCTCAGTGGGAAGACACTGGAATTACAATGCATGTGTAAATGCAGTCATTGCTTTATAAGTGCACAAGTTTAAGAAGTTATGCTTGCACTGAAGCACTGAATATAAAACAAATCTGGGTTATGGCAGCCTTTGAGGAGATGGCCGCTTTCAATTTAATATGTCATGCCCCTAAAATGCATTTCTTGTAGCTCAAATCTGAATAAAGGAAGCTCGATTGAAAATAGTGCCTGCGGTTTTCAGTGGTAAATCAAAGAAGGAGAAGTCAATACAGTCAGTCAATATAACCTAACCTGTGTGTTTTTGTGCTGTGCCTGATTGATATTTAAGTTCGACATATGTAAACAGAGTGGGAGGTACTACAGGGGTCACTGAGGTCACAACTGGGTCACTCTGGCCCCGACTACATTTCTGTCTATACAAACCAGTCATTATGATGCATTTGCAGCAACAGCAGCTGTCACATACACAAACACGCAGGCATGCAAGCATAAACAGTTGCACAAATGCACACAGACACACGCACACACAATAGAAATACTTCAGCCTCTGTAACCTTTAAAAGTATAATTGCCTCTTAAATGTGAAGTAATTTCACAGCTTAACTTTACTTTAGGTGTCTTTTGACAACATGGTATTTTCCATTGAGCCAGGTCATAAAGAAACCAGTGATTTTAGGTAAGAGGAGAGCCAAGAAAGAAACTGAAGAACAAGCCTGGTCTATTTCAGTCATACTTTTAATGGTTTGAATGTCTCCTCTTTAAAGGTCGTTTTTCTAAGCTTAGCTGTAAGGGTGAGAACTCACAAAAAATAATTGACATATAATTCTAGATTCGTGACATGGTTCTCTTCAGCTTCATTAGTAGTTGGTGCATTTTTTTTTTGTTTCTTTTTTTGAATGAGCTCAACTGAAGTTTAAAAGTCTTTGTGTTGTGCTTCTTTGAGCATGAAATGAAGCAGCAAAACTTAGACATAAAAAAGTACAGTTCAGTTTTTTTGGGGGGGGGATGCACTTTTCCTTAAGTTAGCAACAGGAACAAGTCAGGTGTGTAATGTTATCCAGTGAGTGATGATGCAAAGATTTTATCTATTCGTCAGTAACCTATTAATTGTTTACAGAAGAGCTCCAGAAAGTGTCTCCACAGGACATCACCCACTTGAGTCTTACTGTAATGCTTCAGTTTCTGGCTTTGAAGCCAGCATATAGAGAATATTCACTGATCTGTCTGAGGTTCCTTACTGTATTTTCTATTCAAATGCTTGTTCCATTGCTGCATGGTGTACAGTTTCTGAGCAGGCTGCATCAACAATGAGGAAGTACTGTGCAACATGACTAAGAGTCTATCGTGGCCTCATGCACACTGCTCAGTTCCTCGATATAGCACAGCTACTATCTGCCACCATAGAGCTGTCATTGGATGACAGCCCACCCCGTCATAACACATCCTCCCTGTGCTAGCGGAGCAGCATTATAAGGAAATAAGCACCGCTGGGTTGTTTTGCATGTGGCCCAACTCATCTGATCATCTCTAGTTACTCATTACATATGCAAAGTAGTTCTCAGAGGGACATGGAGCACAACTGAACATATAACACAAATGCAGATACTTAGAAAAGGACAGATATTTACCTGCAAACATGAGCTCAGAAACATCTGGCTTCACATGCAGACATGTAAACAGAGGAAGAGGACTCTGAGCCTGGTTTATTTTCTCCTGGATGTCACTCAGTTTGATGTCCATCCTCTGGTGGGAGAGAACACAGTCTTTGAGACCTTTATACTCACACTCTGCCGGTAGTAGGACTTGTCTTTGTCATGATTACGAGGAAGTAAAATAAAAATATGCAGAAATACAAAGGGAGGGGAAGATACAGCACAAAATGAAAATAAAATAAGTTGTGGGTGGGATGCCAGCTCAAAAGAAAAGAGAGGAAATGAAACATGGACTCAAGGGGCGACTCAAGGTTTGATGTACTGCTGATCAATACGGAGACAGAGAAATAAGAAATTCCAATAAGAATTCTATCAAAACGAAAACAAGCACACGCGGTCAGGTGGTTCTTACCGCAGGTATAAGCGTCTCTCCTATGAGCATACCGAAGATATCGGTAAAGGTAACAGGCTGCCCTGAAGCCTTTTTGGACCAGAGGGCCTGGATGTAGTTAGTGATGTGTTGGGGCAGCAACAGCTTCAGTGGGTTACTGCTAACTCTCTTCATCAGTTCAGGGTTGATGTCCTTTGGGCCCTTATTTGGAAAGTCTGGGTGTGAGTACAGAGTAGACATGTACCTGTAGGGTTAAAGAGGAAAAAAAAAGTTTGAGGCATTGCACAAATCTTAATGCAATGTAAAAAATGTTATCAAATAAGTCAATACATGCTTAAAAGATATCACTCTGCTCTTTACACAATTTACAAAGGAGGAACAACACTGTTAAGGAAGTTAAATCCAATAAGTCACTCCACAAACATGAAGGTGAAGACTGAAACAACCCAGAGGTGCTCACTTGATGGCATACCAGCAGAGGAAGGCAAGTTTGCCAGAGAAGGGAGGAGACAACACCGAGGGAGAGCCAGAAAGAAAGAAACACAGCAGTAATAACACACAGAAAGATAAAAAGGAGATAAGTGTATTTCGTAGTAATAAAGGTCAGGGGTGTATAAAATAAAAACTGACCATGTGGATCCTGAGAGGCCGGCGACATATGTGGCACAATCCAGGACCCCAGACTCAAACAGGGCTTTCATCACACCTGAGAAGCCAACCATGGCACGGAAACCGCCTCCTGAGCCCGCTATGGCTATGACTGGCACCTGTAACACACACACACACACACACACACACACACACACACACACACACACACATAAAGGGACATTCATAATGTGAAGGAGAAGAAGACAAAAGCGTACCTAATCTCATAATTATATACTACACAGCTTAGACTATGAGTCTCACATTCATTCTCATTCTTTCAGGTTGAGTAACTTCCCTCCTGTGCCTCCATGTGTCTTTGACACATTTTTCTCATTTGTGCCTTCAGATTTTCAGCTATTTCACAATTCTCATTGTGCAACATCGCCTCCTTTCTGCAGCCTGTGTTTATCTTTAGGTTATTCTGAATATTCTGACAGATACTATAACTCCACGAGAGTCTTCCTGGAACGGGAGTAAAGGGATGCTGTAGCATAGTGGAAAGCAGAAGCCGGTTATCTCATTCCTCTGGAGCTTCCGGTACATGTTGAGGACATGAGCAGGCTTGGCTTTAGATTACAGCCAGCCCCAAGGGCGCCTAGCCAAAACCACACAAGCGAGAAAATGAAACTCGAGCAGAGAGCAGGGGAGCAGAACTCGCAGGTTTGTGAGGCTTATTGTATGTTTAAGAACGCAGGTTATTTAAAAAAGGCATCACAGTTTTGTTATTTTTACTTTTCCTACATCTAGGATTATTACTATATATATACTGATGTACTGCACAGCAGCTATAGCTCTGTCAGCTAACTCATGTGGAATGTATTATTATGCAAGTGTAAAATATGTACAGCGTAGGTGGCATCTAGGCTCTGACCTAATTGTTCCCCATGAGAAAACTTTGCACAGCAGGGAGCGGGGACTAATGAGATTAACTTTCCCCCTTGGGCAATGTAGATACAGAGCCTACAGGTGGATGCTCAGGTGGAGGTGGGGCTTTGGAAATGCTCCTCTAATACCAGCAGTAGGAACAAATGACAGCATATCTTCACAGGTAAGCGGTGTGGCAGTAAAAAGGAGAGCGCTGATAACTTCATTCACTGCCATAATAAACAATGTGTGTTAGATATACAACGCGTTGCAGTAAGAGAGACTAAGTAGCTGTGGGCTGGAACCACTGTCTGGAATTACTGTCTGTCTGAACTTAAGTATCAGTAACTCAGTTGAAATGAAGGAAAAGTTTGCTGAAACAAAACTATACAATCATGAGAACCACAGTAAGGGACTGTCTTCATGTCAGTGCATAGCAGTCTCTCATTTTTCATGACACATGAAGAACATTTCGGTACCTGAGCATTATATATAGTGAAGTGCAAATGGATGATGAAATTAAGTGTTTGAATAAATTAAGCTGTCACCTCACAGATTTACCCAAATGGCTGAAAACTGTTTTGTTTCCTTGTTAAATTTATGTTAAAACTTGACTTTGTCTCTCACCTCTGCCGGAGAACTGGGGAGAAAACGAGGCTTCTCCATGTCTAGCAGCTTCTTGATGCCCAGCATCACTCTCTCTCTGCGGGTGTGTCTGAACTGCTTCTCTTTGTCACACAGGGCCAGGCTGAACCGCAGATCCAGTTTGGTGCTGCAGCAACAAATGAAAGAACTAAGGTTTACTAGATCTGATAGTGGGAAGACAAGCGATAACTCTTGATTAACATTTTCTGCTGAGATGCAGGTAGAGGATATCATCTCTCCGTGTACTTAGTATGATGTCGAAACCGATCTTGAAGTCAGATAAGGTCTGCCTCTGGGCTGTTTGGTATGAAATACACATCGACAGACAAACAGTCTTGACCTCTCACACTTTACTACTCATCTTCTCATGATTACAAACCCTTAAAACATGTATAGCATTTCCAAACCCTCCCACTACCCCCTATGTAGTGATGCCATGGGTCACACTGCTTTAAGTTCAATTTTTAGTTTCCGCATCGCTCTGGGTGCATTCCTGTGCATTCTTGAACCTGTGAGGAATTTTCACACAGGCCTTTCCTCATATATTCCTTATCGCGTTTTCACACAAGCACCTTTAGGTTCAAAGTGAACTCTTAAAACATGTATTGCTGTAAAACTAAATAAAAAAATATACTAAGACAATGGTTAAATTTGCAGGGAATACATACCAGATTTCCAGCGACATCTCCAAGTACACTTTGGTTGCCTGCCAAAACAATAAAATATGTGGTTACTGTCCAGTAAAGGAGCAGCTGATAGTGGTTGGTCATAATAAACAGGCAAACACAAAGTGTCACAAGCAAAATCTAAAAACGGAGAATGGTTAATTTAAAACATTTTTGCAAATTTTTTTTTTAATCATTTGCAGACTCATTGTATTATTTAAACAGAAATTTAAATTTCACTAAGTTATAATCTGTTATTCATTTATTGATTGATTAATTAATTAATTAATTCATTCATTCATTCATTTTCATAGTGTTGTTCCTTTTTCAGCCCATCCCACATGGGACTAGAAGACCCTGTTTCACAACCATCTTCCAGTCTTGCACAAAACAAAATGTGGAAAAGAAAAAGAAACATAACAAAAGAAACACAAATAAATTATTAACAAAAAAATCATCCCAAATAAACTGCTTGCATGAGAAACTACCAGACATTTACAGACTATTTTAAGAAAAAGCCCTCTTTCTTCTCAAAACACTAATAATTATTTGTCTGTTTCAAATGTGAACAGATATTTCAGTCTTTGTGTATCTTCCATATTTGCAAAATCAATTTCTATTTATTATCTTACCAAACAAAGCTTTGTGCAGTTAACAATAAAAAGGATGGTAGAAAACAAAACTGAACTTCATCATTTAGACAACACATTGGAAAAACACATTTTTCTTTTTCTAGATTAACATACCATCCAGTTTAAACTGTCAAAGGCAAAATACCAGATCTCAGCTGAGCACACAGAGATTTTATTTATTATTTATTTATTTATTTTTATATATACAACTATACAAGTAATAATTAATCATCAATAAAGTTATTTTGTTAGCACAATCTAGTCTCCGTACACATGCAGTACTATCTTCAGTCTGTAATATTATATTTTATGTAATATAACATTTACCTTGTGTTCCATCTTCACATATTCAATGTCTTTGGAAAAGGTGGGATCTTAACTAATATTTAAAGAAAGCTCCTGTAAGTTTTAACAATGCTCACCTGCATAATATTAACTTATAATGATGAATCTGCCAAAGAGTCTGCTGTGATTGAGGGTCTTACTTTGCCAATGAGGAAAGACTCCATCTTTGTCTGGCCAATGCTGAGCTTGGTGATGTCATAGGTCGCCGTCCCAAGTGTCTCATCCATCACATAATTGGCGTCCATTAATGTTAACTGAGTGAAATAAATATCACAAGTTGAATAGTTATACACATCTCAAACAATGATCAATATAAACAAAACATAGAGATCCTAACATGTTACTGTTTATCTTATATCATTTCATATCAGGCTAAAAATGATACACTCTGGCTTTACTCTCCACTACATCCCTGCTTGTCATGGTTTACTGGTGTGGACTGTGCTGGACAGTAAAATGCAGGTCTAACCTCCAGGATGTTGTGCTGGTTGGGGTCTAATATGAAGTGGAAGGTCTCGTTCCATTTTGGGTTGATGTCATTGTCTATGTGCTTGGTCTTCTTCCTGCTCTCTGGGGCCGTTGGGATAAACAGCTCCACATAGGGATCTGGGGTGTCCACTGCACAGACACACATGGACACACACACAGGCACATTTACCAATGTCAGCATAATGCTCGTGTTACTTTCTTGTTTTGTTTTTTTTTTGTGTGAAAAGTTCTTATTGATCTTAATTTTGGTGGAAAATTTTCTCTGCCTCAAAAATATGTGTCAATGTTAGAATTCCATGACATGCATTAGGACTCACACAGGTCCCCCAGCGCTCCCTTGGTGACACTCTCGGCTCGAACCACCGTCACTGTGAATTTGTGAGAGAACTGCTGCTCCACCTGCAACACAACATTTACTCAGTTCAGCTCATTGTCTCAAGTGGAAAAATCCGTCCAGCCACAATCATAACAAAGATAATAATCTCGTAGGTGCGTAACCCATTGTGCGCAATTAATCTAGTGATGAAACATGATGTAAGAGTCACACGTCAATCAGTGGGAACAGCTGGGTTTCTTGGCAGGTTGACACATCCGCTGTGAAATCCTCTAGCTCTCTACTGTAGGTTCACCTTCCAGCTGTATTCACACTCATCAATAATTACTTTCTTCTTGCATTTGGACAGCAAAATGCTCATTTGTTGGACCGCAACCTGGGATTTACAGCTTAATTTGTTGTAAGAATCACACACCAATAAAATACTTACTGGTGCCTAGTGGCACTTAAATGTAGGAACAGTGGAAGAGGAAGACTGTCAGGAACAAGGGAGTAACAACTGGACAACACTTTGTGATGGCAGTTTTTGTCAGATGACAGCAAGATGTTACTCTGTTGTGGAAACCTTACCTGGTAACTGCCGTGAGAAAATGGCAAAAGCATATGTATTTGTACCTTATCCATTACTATATGTAACAGCACACTGTAGTATGGATGAACACTAGATAAAGTCTCCATACCTCAGCTGTAGTGTTACTGTGGGCAAATGTTGTTGCAATACATTGAAGGTTTCATCATCCAAAATGAGCTTTATAACACAAACTAGTGACAGCAGCTTAGACAAGCGTATTAAAGCTCCGATTCACCAAAGCAGAAGTGTGACATCACTATGTTGAAACCCAAGTGGTGATCATTACAACATACGCTGTAGTCAATCCAGAGAACATAGACTGTACAACAAAGACATTGCTGTACTCCACAAACAATTGACAAGTCCCTCATTATTCCAAGTTTTATACCCCTTTTCTCACAGCTTCCTAACACAAAACTATATTTCTGTACTTCAGCAATGGTTTGTGGTCATTTTGGAAGCATAATTCAAAAACTTTATGTGTTTTTCAATTAGAGACTTCCCCATAGCCGCTTTCATTACCTTACTGTGCCCCTACAGATTTGGTAGCATATTGTGCAGAGGAAGAAGAAGGCATTTGCCTTACACATTACACACAGGCCCAACACACACATACATGCACGAACAGGACCAGTACACATGCATTAATGGAGCCATGTCAGAGCGACGGACCTGCACATGGACAGGTGCCCTAAGCAGTTTGGGGTTCAAGGACACCTCAGCAATGCCTAGGAATTGAACTGGCACCTCTCCAACTACCAGTCCACACTCGGCCCCTGGTCAGTACAGGTACTTGAACCGGGTTATCCTTTGGTTCCCAAGCTAAGTCCCCATGTCGGGGCTGCAGCCGCACACAGAGTGTCATTAACACCATTTTTCCAAAAATGCAGGTTTGTTCCCTATAACTGTGCCCTGTAGGTAACTAGCCTTTACAAACATACTTTCCTCTTGAATGCCCAACTGTTACTTCCTTGTTGCCCATAGTCTTGTTTTCTTCCACTGTACCTGCATTTAAGTACTAGTAGCAAGCATGTTATTGGTATCTGATTCGTGCAGTAATATTACACTATATATCACAGGCTGTATAATAAAGGGTTACTAAATATAGTATATGGGTCACTTGGAAGTTTGTGCTAAAGTATTCAGTCTCCAATGTTGAAAAATATGTGGTACGTGAGTTAAAATACAGGCATTTTCAGAGGTCATTAATCTCCGAACAACGTTTCCTTTGTCCTTCATAGATATCCATCACTGAACCCACATGTTGGATTAGGAAGTTGTTTTGCATTTTTCTTTCTGTGTTGTTTTTTGTGTCAGCCTTACAACCAACCAGAACTATCAGTCATTCTCAAATAATCTCAACATCTGTTTATATTCACTGTAGTTTTAAGGTGTGACCACTCATGGGGGACACAAGTGGCCTTTAAAGCTTGCTTGTTTCTGACTGCCAGTTGCACATCCTAAGTTATGCAGGAGAGAGAATTTGATTTCAGCCAACCACAAGTCTCAACACAGAGAGAGTTGTGAGACTTTTAACTGATGTAAACCTGTCCTGCAGGCATGTAAACGCAGCCATCACACAGATTATCTCATGCTAATCTCATTTAAAACCGGCCAACATTAGCCCTTGTTGTCTGCTGAAGTGATCAGGACAAATATCTTGCCAGTGAGTTTTTGCTTTGAAGTGATAAGTGTGAAATTCTTTCTACTGTAAATCTAAAAACCCAGTAAGGTAAGACATGCTATGGATTAATTTGCTTCGTATTGTGACCACCAGAATCTCTTCATCTGTTTAAACTGCTCCGTTTTCTCTACATGTCAGTACTCACAATTATATTGGAAGCCATTATGAGTTGTCAGGTGAATAATTCTCAGGAAAGCCTTTGTCTAAATGTGAACTTTAACTCAGGAGAACATCTCAGTGAAGAACTGGAGCATTTGGAACCTGGGGGATGAAACAAAAACTTTCATTATCAGACAAATGCAGGAGCACAGCTTTAACAGACAGACAACATTTACATGGAAACATTTCCTCGTGGGTGTCAATAACATCACACCACCATGACGTTACCACAACATCAACTATCAGGCTTATTGCTGTAACTACTTGAAGGATGATATCTTGTCATAACCTCAGCCACAGTGAAAGATAATACAGCTTAAACCAGAATGGGAGGATGACTTTGAAAATTGAAGATAAAGAGCAGGATGATATGTGCCTCAACCTTTCTGGCTGTTTTACCACAAAAAGAGCAAAGGAACTACAAAGATAAATCATATACAGCATATTAATGAGACACAATAAAAAACAAACTTTTTATCATTTACTAGTATGTGTATATATCACTGTTGCTCAAAGTGTGGCCTGCGGGTCAATGGTGGTACTCAGAAACTTTTTTTGCGTGGCCCCTGAAACTCGACAAGCGACTGCATCAAACTGTGCCCCCCAACAAGCATTCCCAAAAAGAAAGATTAAACTAATATAAAGATTACTTCATTCTGATCTGTTCGTTCAAACCACCCCTCATTTGGAGAAGTACAGAGCAAAAGAACAGATCAGCAGGAGCTGCTGTGATCATAGGCCTCTCAGAGGTTTCTCAACTCTAAGAAGAGATAAAATACACAGAGCTGATACTTGAATTTGACTACTGAGACAAAATTCTGAAATAGTGCAGGCTCATTCAAAGCCAATCAAGTCTTCATTTGGATCTCACTGTTATCTATTAGTGCAGCATGAGAGGGAAAAGAGCATTTTAAGATTTTAAATAGGGATCAGGCTGAGTAAAGAGGTGGAATTATAAGAAAGTGGAAGTATAAGAAAATTGTCAAAATGTCATATTGATGTTATAATGAGCTCAGTTATGTCTAGGAGAAATAGGCTGGACAAAGAAGAGATCTTATTTTGAATTTTCTTTTCCTCTGGGACTGTCAGGTTCAGGGTGACAACTTGTAGAAAGCTACTACTAGCACCTTACAAGTGCTGCTGTAATTACATGCTATCATAAATGCTAGTGCTGTTAGCTAAAGTTAGCAATTTCGGTGGAGTGCTCCCAGATGTGCTTTTCCTGTGTGGCCCTTAAGTCATATGCCTGCTCCCTCAATTGGCACTTGAGTACCCTTAGTGTATATTCAAAATTCTAGAAAGATGTTCCTAAAAGAATCACTGACATAATTGGTCAAATAATGAACATTTCTCCTTCATAATGCCCCAAATATTCCTCCAAATCCACCAAAAATCTTCCTCTTCTGTGCTAGAAGATGCAATTCATTAAACCGGGAGTCGGAGGAGCCCCCTACCATCATACAGTGGATGAGTAATGTGTTAGAGTTCATGCCTCTTGAAGCTCTCAGCTTCTATTTCAGAGAGGAACCACTTCGGTTTTATAAAGTTTGGAGTCCTTTTACAACTTACTTAGGACCTGACTGTTTATGAACTCTGTGGTGTGGTGGCATGGGGATGGCAGATGTTTTCTTTTCAGTGCATTGTGTTTGTACATTTCTTGTTTGGGTTGTCATTGGCTTTTTCATCTGTAAAATGTGCCATTCACTGTGAACCTGTTGATGTTTAAATAAAGAAAACAACAAGAAATATCAGTGAAGCCATCTTAACAGTGGCAAGGGGAAGTGAGCTGAGCCACAAACCCATGATAGGAGGACTGGGCCAATAGCAACCACTTATGTGTGCGCAAGTGCAAGTACACCACATGCATATGTAGAAGGTGTGAGAGAGGAAGATGGAGGTAAAAAGAAATGCATCTGTGATACAAAATGTGAGTGAAATGACTGAACCGAGATGCTGTGTGTATAATATATAACAGTTTAACGTACTGTACAGTCTGAGGTACAGGCGGGTGTGCATGAGGCTCTCTCTTTACACTGGCAGAACATGTATGTTGATAAGAAATTTGCATACAGGGTTTGTGTGTGTGTGTGTGTGTGTGTGTGTGTGTGTGTGTGTGTGCTGGTGATAGCATATCAAGGTCAGCGAGCCCTTTCTCAGATGTTCACCAAAGCGTATCATTACTGAGGGGACAGAAAGCACGTAGGGAGTCTGTGCGTTCACAGCACTGGTCACGTAGGTTGCATCGGTGGTCCAACTTTTGCAAGTGCCAGTTCACTCTGCCCTTGTTCTGCAGCGTACAATGAGTGCATGCCGGCTGCTGAGTCCTGTGTGTGTGCCAACAAAAAACCCAGAGGCTTCACAGCACTACATTTTCATACGAGGACGCAAAAGGTGAAAGAGACGCACAGCCACCAGCCACGATGCAAAACAGCTGTAGTTAATAATAGGTTTTAAAGGCATACAGTAGATCTCTTGTTGTGCAAGTGCAGTCCTACCTGTGGCATTAAAGGTAAAGATCGGAAATATCACCTCTATGAATCACTGTGCATTTCTCAAAATAAATAATAGAGGGTACAGGGTAAACCTTATCTGAATTACAGGTTTCATACAAAACTGTTTACTAGGCCGCTGTAAACAGGTTTTGCTTGATTCCCATTGAGTAGGAAGAATAGGGTCAAGATCTAACAAGTCCTGATAGTGCTGTGTGAGTTTGCAAAATGCAACGATAGATTTTTGCCTCACATAATGTAAGACAACAGAGATGGTAGTGTAAGCTATTCTTTTGCAATGATGTCAACACTGGAAATAAGATATGTATTTACGAAGATAAAGCCTTCACTTTTTAAGAGGCAACTAACGGTACCTGTTTACTCTGATCCGCCACATTAAGCGCTTAATATAGTTTGCAATCAATTAGATTAACAAAGCGTTGTTTCTCTGTAAGTGTTGGCACGAGCGCGTTTTTAATTTCCTTATCCTCAAAGAGTTGCGTAAAGGGAACTGCTTTCGAAGACGCTGGTTAAAACACCGGTGCTGGCACTGACCTTCCTCTCCAAACTCCCGTCCAATCATTAAAAAAGAAGCCATTAGACTGAAGAGGGAAGGAAACTGGAAACTTACCTTCGCGCAAATCCTGAAAAATGTGTCATACTGATCGAGAATATAGTTCCACCACTACGGGAGAAGAAGGCGGTGCTTCTCGACAGATGAGCAGTACGCACAGCAGTGAGGAGGACCGTAAATTAAGGTTTTAAGACTGAAGGTTGAGGGAAAATCTAACAAACACAAACTTGACGTAGATGACTAAAAATAACTGTGGGTTTAAAATGTTAGTTTTGAAAAGCCGTGACGAGCAGAAAAGAGTCACGGAAAATTGCGCACTGTCAGGTTTTGACTCAGCGGGGAAAGCTGCAGCTCGCGACTTCTCTCCAAGTCACCAAGTGCGCATTTGGAGACGACGTCCACACGGCGGCAGCAGAATTAACATTTTTGGTGAATTACTTAAGAACATGACACAGAGGTGACACTAAAGTGAAGGGTATTAGTAACAAAAAAGATCAGTCCGCTGGTTATTTCCATACACTGTTGGAAGCCAAACAGTGATTAGCATATCCTGTGGCTTTGACACAATTATGATTCAATCAAATGTTTTTCTCAATGCAGTATTGCCATCATGTTTTTAAGAAGCACTGTTATTACATAGAAATAATTCTTACACAATGAAAAAGAGCCCTGAGCGGACTTAATGCCATGACAGACCCAAACCTCTACAGGTCTCCAACAGCCAGTCATTTTAAATGCAATCATACCACATTCATTACCTCCTCATGTCTTACAGAAAATACACCAGCAGGTAAATTCTCATGAATTGATCTGTTCTGTGTGACATGTATTGCACGTCTGTCCGTCCTGGAGGAGGGATCCCTCCTCAGTTGCTCTTCCTGAGGTTTCTACCATTTTTTGGGTTTTTTTGGGGAGTTTTTCCTCATCCGCTGCGAAGGTCCAAAGGACAGAGGGATGGCATATGCAAGCCCTCTGAGGCAAATTGTGGTTTGTGATAGTGGGCTTTATAAATAAAATTGATTGATTGATTGATTGATTGATTGACGAATCTAATAGCAGAAATACTTCACTAAACATATCTTTATTTTCATATATTTGCTCCATGATTTAAACATCAGATTATTATTTTGAATTACAGTCGTCATCTTGTGGACATGTAGTCTATACAACTGAGATATTCGGGGGAAATATATCTTTAATATTAAAGTGTCTGCTTGCTGTAGCCTACTTCAGATACTTATGCATTAAAATGTAAAAAAAAACAAAACAAATAAAAACAAAAACAAAATGCATTTCTGTAAAAGCCCATTCTTTACAACTTGCCGTTTTCATAGAAGAAATAAAGCTTTACATATGAACACTTTTTTGGTTTTATATTCATGTTTTTTATTGAAATAATTCCACTTGGAAAAAAACAGGAGCAAAAAGAAGGGGGCAGGGAAGCGTTGCCAGTAAAATCAGCTCGGTGCCATAAACACGCACAATACCCCCACTTTAAATTACAGAGAAATAACGATTGTGTAAGAAAAAATATTCGGGTATTACTTATTACTCGATGAGTACAGATGAGCCTACGACTATTCATGATGGCAGACAGATAGCGCCACCCCCTTTACAAGCGTATAAAGGTGCTGCGCGCAGGTTTGGACAGTCAGCGTTTCAGCCTCGGAGCGATACCACAGCGAGAGAAGAGAGCAGGAGAGAGAAACGAGATCCGACAAAGTCTTTGGAGTATGAACAGATTCACATTTGCGGTTTTCCTTGTGGCACTGGGTTTTCTTGTCTGCGAAGGGGGTAAGTAGAGGACACTGACAATTACATTACGCTGCTTCAACAGAGGCAGGCAAACTCAAAATTTAGGTTTTAGGTGTCTAAAAGTTTTGTATGTTATACTTTGTGAGTCTTTATTTAAGACATAATTTTTAAACACTCACATTGTGTTATATGTATAGAAATATTAAAGCTTAACACTAAAATGTTACAAAATACCATTAGGCTAAAGTTTGTCTTTATTGCTCAGAGGCTTATTACATTAGGCTTTAACACGAGTATTCTAGTATTTGGAGGATATTTGAAGCTTCTCTAATAGATTTATGTTAGTATCTGAAGTGAATTGTCAGTAACCACCCAACATTGTACCCTGCAGGTAACCCATGTTGCTCAGTGCCGTGCCAGAATAGAGGCGTGTGTACGGCACTTGGACCAGATAATTATGAGTGTGACTGCACACGTACAGGGTATCATGGACAAAACTGCACAACACGTAAGTATGAATGGCTCACATGAGGTTAATGTTAAAACCTGGATGTGTTTGTTGCAGTGATTTGTTCAATAATTAACTTTCCCCTTTGACTTTCACAGCTGAATTCCTCACCTGGCTCAAGATCTCCCTGAAGCCATCACCCAACACCATCCACTACCTTCTCACCCACTTCAAGGGCTTCTGGAACATCATCAACAACATCTCATTTCTCAGGGATGCCATCATGAGATACGTGCTGACATGTAAGTGTCTGTAGCTGAGGGCAAAATGAGGACATGGATTTATTTCATATCATATTGAATCATTCGTACAGCAGCTTGTAAAGATGCAGTTGTGGCATTCAAACTAATAATGAAATGCTTTTTCCTCTCTATAGCTCGATCCCACTTCATCGATAGTCCTCCAACTTTCAATGCGGATTACGGCTACATAAGCTGGGAGGCTTATTCCAACCTTTCCTACTACACACGTACCCTCCCGCCTGTTGCAGAGGATTGCCCAACCCCAATGGGAGTAGCAGGTGAGTACGCACTCTCGCTCTCTCTGCCTTTGGAAAACCAGTTTTCTCAGATTCTTGAATACTGAGCAAGAGTAGCTTGGCCTCGTTACATCACAGGAAGTGCTCAAACTTGAAATGATCCTCTCTGTTGGACTGACTGAGTGGAAATGTGCTGAGGGAACACAGCAAATCCTGCCCCAGCAAGCCAAAACTAAAGAACATAAAACCATATTGAACTTGTCTCAGGAATTTACAATGACAGTGAACCTCAGTTAAAGCTTTTCCTACAATAAATCATCACATTTCAATCATGTGAACATTAAAGTTTCTTGGCTCTGCATTGTAATGTTGTATGCTTACTGTAATGTCCTAAATTGTTTCCCCAGGTAAAAAGGAGCTACCTGATGCTAAGATATTGGCTGAGAAGCTTCTGGTGAGGAGACAGTTCATCCCCGACCCGCAGGGTACCAGCCTGATGTTTGCATTCTTTGCACAGCATTTCACCCACCAGTTCTTCAAATCTGATATGAAGAAAGGACCTGCTTTCACCGTAGCTAAAGGTCATGGGGTAAGTACAGCAGATTTAAAATTCATCGGATCTTAGTCAGGAAAGAGAGACAAAAAGATTTATGAAAGGCTAAACTTTAATCATGGTGTTGTTTTTGCTTTTAGGTGGACCTCAGCCACATTTATGGGGACAACCTGGAGAGGCAGCACAAGCTCAGACTCTTCAAAGATGGCAAGCTTAAATATCAGGTATGAGAAGACACAGATGGACAGTACTTTAAACAGCCAAGTGCTTCAGACCACACAAGTGTCTAACAGTTGCTTCCTCTCTTGTGTAACTCTGCAGATCATTGATGGGGAGGTGTATCCCCCAACAGTCAAGGAAGTGGGTGTCGACATGCACTACCCTCCTCATGTTCCCGACTCTGACCGTTTTGCTGTGGGCCATGAGGCATTTGGCCTGGTCCCAGGTCTGATGATGTACGCCACTATCTGGCTGCGGGAACACAACCGGGTGTGTGATGTGTTGAAGGAGGTCCACCCTGACTGGGACGACGACAGGCTCTTCCAGACCACCCGGCTCATTCTGATTGGTGAGTTCATGTACAAAAGTTTTTGAAAACATTTTCTGTAATGTTGCTGGACAAACAAAGTCAAAACAATAACAAGAAAGGCAAGAGATGTATGCGTCATAACATTAATGTAGTGACTGTGGGAGATGTGAAAAGTGGAAGTTGCACTGTCTGTTTCGTCAGTCACCAACCAGCAACCCTGTTGCACAAAGTAGAGCATTTGAACTCTACTGTAAGAAACAGGATTTACTGAAAGATAAGAAAAAGAAGAAATGTTTTGTTTTTATTTCCAGACTTAACTGCTTGTTTACAAATTATGATTTTGATTTAAATATTCCCTTTAAACATTTTTCAAGGCATATAAAATACACTGCTTGAATAATAATATTATGATATGGATTTAAACAAAAAAAACACAAGATCTATGAATGTGCAAATATTTGTATTCAAAAGTGTAACTACTGCATAACTTGTCTTCCAACTTCACTGAAAACTTAATTCTCAGTGTATGTGCACCAGAGGTTTCAAGTTTCCTCAGCAAAGTAGCAAAAAGAAATATGGTTTTAAATATCTGCATTTAATTAAATATAAAATCTTCTATCCTGTAGGAGAGACCATCAAGATTGTAATCGAGGACTACGTGCAGCACCTGAGCGGCTATCACTTCAAGCTCAAGTTCGACCCCGAGCTGCTGTTCAGCCAGCGCTTCCAGTACCAGAACCGCATTGCGTCCGAGTTCAACACCCTCTATCACTGGCACCCTTTGATGCCTGATACTTTCCACATTGAAGAGAAAGAATACAGCTATAAAGAGTTTGTCTTCAACACCTCTGTGGTGACCGAGCACGGCATCAACAACCTTGTGGAGTCGTTTACAAAGCAGATTGCTGGACGGGTAAGCAGCAGTTACATTTTAGATTTTAAAACCACTGTTGCTTTAAGGATGATTAACTGACTTTTCATTCATTCATCTTTTTAGGTTGCTGGTGGCCGAAATGTCCCAGGACCTATCCTGTACGTGGCCATTAAGTCCATTGAGAACAGCAGAAAAATGCGCTACCAGTCTCTGAACGCCTACAGGAAACGATTCTCCATGAAGCCCTACACCTCTTTTGAAGACATGACAGGTGAGACAAAGTTACAAAACCTAATGCTTGCAGGTGGAAAGTCTGACGTCAGAAGATAATCAAAGAGGTTATTATCAACTTGAAGTGAAAGGAAATGTTGCCTCGGGCCAAATTATTACTGCATTATTGATAGCATTGTTGTGAACTGATTGCACACATTAAATGCGAGCTTAAACAACACGCCCAGACGCTACAGATCTTAACATCAAAGCTCATGTGATGCATTACTTATTATTAAAGAAATGAACCTAGCTATAGTCCCCAGCTGCTTTGGAGGTTAGGAATTTATTTCCGTGACTGTAAGAACCAGATGTGCATTTCATCTTGAGATAATGTAAGCAGATTGTCATCACAGAGAGCAAGACGTAAACAGACGAGAAAGGCCTCCTGCTGCAGAGGAGATTTAAGTTTCACTAGAAAAGAAGATTTGATGTTGATTAAAAACTAAGTGTGATGTATGAGGACATAAAAATGTATTAACATGTGCGTGCTTGTAAGAGACATGAAAAAGATAGAAGTAAGGACAAGGGAGATCATTTTTATCTACTATTTGCTGGATTTGAATCAGTCAAAACACTGGGCTCATATTTAGACTAGCATCGAGCTTTGCAGCTGCTGTGTGTGTGAGAGAAGCCAGATGGAGACACTAACTACAACTATTTCCTACTTTGTGCTACGCAGGAGAGAAAGAAATGGCCGCAGTGCTCGAGGAGTTCTATGGACACGTCGATGCTGTGGAGCTGTACCCAGGTCTGCTGGTGGAGAAACCCAGGCCCAACGCCATCTTTGGGGAGACCATGGTGGAGATGGGGGCTCCATACTCCCTCAAGGGCTTAATGGGAAACCCCATCTGCTCCCCGGAGTACTGGAAGCCGAGCACATTTGGAGGCAGTGTGGGCTTCGAAATTGTCAACACCGCTTCTCTTCAGAAGCTCGTCTGCAATAACGTGAGGGGCACCTGCCCTCTGGCTTCCTTTCATGTGCCTGACGTCAAAGAGACGGGGTCCATGACCATCAACTCAAGCACATCCCACTCACGTGGCAATGATATCAACCCCACAGTCATTTTGAAAAAAAGGACTACTGAGCTCTAATTTTTTATTCTATAAGGTTTTTTCTCTTTTTTTTTTAACATATTAGTTTATTTATTTATTTATTTATTTTTGTATTTATTGTATTCTATTTATAATATAACAAGGAAGTGCAAAAAATAATTTTTATATGTAATTTTGTATATTTTTGTTTACTTATCAAGAACAGAAGTCTGTGGTTGTGTTTATTTATTAAGAGATTAATTGTATCATACACTAAGTTATTGTGACAGTTATGACCTCAGACAATGCAACTTGATACTTGAAGGTTAGTTTACAGTCTTAACTACATAGTAGTGCACGTTACATTCCTGTTACATGTTCCCTGGGATCAACTGCTACTCTTCCATTTTGCAATTGTGCGACTGTCCCAGGACAGCAGTGATCTGTTCTACAGACAGAGAGATACAGTATAGCATTGTTCACAGTGAACCTAATGACTGATGTTGACTCTCTTGATCTAACGTTACTAGAGTGCATTCCTATTTCAGTATTGCTTTACTGATTTCTTTCCTACTTCAGTCTGTGTATTGGCTTTGGAAATTTTAAATGACATTAATAACTAAGCTGCACTGTTGTTTAGAATTGCATTGTCATGTTATAGATATTGTTTAAAACAAACATGTACTGTTTAAAATAACCATGTACTGTATACAGTAGGAATATTTGTAAGTTTTGTTTTCAGTGCCCATTGATTTGTAAGGTTGACACTAATAAATGCTGCCAGAAGAAAAGGCATTTCTCAGAAATCAGCTGACATTCTTGTCATTTTCACTTTGTGATTCTGATGTAAAGCTCTTACACACACTCTCTGAATGATGCTGTAGATGCTGCAGTTCAGAATATATGCAATTTTGAAAAAGTAAGAGTAAGGTTTTTTGTGACAATCATGTTTCTTAAATTAGAGATATGGCAACAGCAAGAGATAGATGTTACAGTACTGCTGCTCCTTTGACACACAGATGTTAAGAACTTAGACAGTTTGCTAAATCTTACGCATCCCACAAATACTTTAATGTAGGTGTGATGAAAGACGGACGCGTAAATCAGTTGCACCCCTTCAAGTTTGTTTTGTGCATTTCTATGGTAACAGAGACAAAAGGGCATCACAATATTTTGTCACAAGAATACAGACCAGCTTGTCCTCAGACAGAAGAAAAGCCTTACGTGTCAGTAAGTCACTGTGTACAGAAGCTTAAGTGTGCCCTAAGAACAGTTTGTCGACAAAATGGAAATGAATAGCAGGAATAAAATGAATTGTGATGTGTTTGATATGATACAGAGGCAGATTCTGTTATAAGAAATGGAATAAGAAGTTATTAAAAAGCCTTTTTAAAATCATTTGTAATTACAGTGATAAATCAATATATTTATGATGTAAACACAGGATAAAGAGTTTTTAAGTGGTCCATTTTATGATCATTTTATTATTTTGGCACTAGTTATGTTATTGCTTAATTTACTGTAAATGCAAGCTAGGGCCTTTTTGTGTGCTGTCAAGTTAAACACCTCCTGTACGAATAAACTCTACAGGAAAGTGCAAGTCGACAACTGATGATGCTGCACAAAGGAACAAATAAACATGAATCAAATTATCATTAGTAATAGATTATTGTTTTTCTTTTTTAAAGATATTTTTCTGGGCATTTTAGCCTTTAATTGACAGGACATTTGAGTGTGAAAGGGAGAGAGAGAGGGGGAGTGACAGGCAGCAAAGGGCCACGGGCTGGACACGAACCAAGGCCGCTGCGGCAACAGCCTTGTACATGGGGCGCCTGCTCTATCCACTAAGCCACCAACACCCCGTAATAGATTCTTTTAAGTGAGCTGAGGGCTTATTATTTTAGCCTAGATTGCTTAAACTTTCACTTTTCAGCACATCATTTATAACATGTAGAGACTTGTCAGGCTTGAGGGTTCTGCAGGCTGCAGTGTGGTATGATCTTCTGTTTCACAGATAAGCTGTGGTGAGATAAATCAGTTGAAGAGGGGCAGATCAGGAATTTCTCACTGTAACCTTCCCTTCCCCTTTATTGGTACAGTATGTCTGTTAATTAAAAGGAAAGATTTTTATCAGATCTTATTCCTGAGGCAAAGTTAAAATGTGTCCTTGAGTAATGCTGCTGTTACTGTACAATATCTTCCCAGCAACAGTTTCTGTGTACTTCTTCTGTTTTGATATTGCTTTGTGTTGATTTGAAATTACTAACAAAACGCACGCAACAGGCGTGTTTCAAAGAGGAAGTGACGAGGTAAGAGACTGTGGTATTATGCACAGCACATCCCTAAAACTTTCCATTACTTAAAGCATGTGTTGCTGGTAAAAGATGTGGAGGGCTAAAAATACCGTTTTACTGTGTATGAGGTGTGAAAATTAGCATCTTGTCCAGAAGTGTAGAGGAAACCTTGCCTCAGCTGTATAGGCTGGCAGCTCAAAAGAGGATTAACGTTATTGTTCTAGGGTATCCATTCCAAAACAAACATGGTGGACGGAATGTTGACGTGACTGGCGGCACAGAACGGCGAGTCAGGCTGCTGGGCATCCTCCCATGTAAACACAGACAATGACAAGCAAAATTTTCCCATCCATTCACACATTTCTCACAACCGATACAGAGAGCACATTTACTCTCTCCCATCAGATCGGACGATTCGAGCTTTAAACACAAAACCACACACACAAGCAAGGAAATTACATTAATTAAGTCATGTGCATCAGTTGTTATCCCAACTGAACCCAATTGTCAGTTTCTCCTCCGTCGCATAATCTTTGTCCTGTACTTCAAAGGAACAGGCGTAGGACTCCCCGTCACAGGGACTTGGCCCATCACAGCATGAAAATGACCTAATTGTGCGTGCACATTATTTGTTTTACCCACTGTCAGCTGCCCAAGGGTGAGTATTATTATTTCATTGTGCATCAATGTGTGGCATGCTCAGGTCCTGGTCTATGAGATTGAGCAAGGGAGCAAATCTCTTTTTGTGTGGGTGTAATGAGCATGAGCAGGCGGTGGGCCCTGGTGTGGAAGTAGTTCAGGAGACTTCAGTGTGTGTTTTCCCTCTGACTGCTTCTGGAGTTCCCTGGAACCATGGACCTGTGATCCTTGACCCGAGTTACGTGACACCTTGCAGGTGGCAGAAACTGGGGTCACCTGGGAGCTGGTGCCAGTCACCTCTGCATGTGAAGTACTGGCACGGACCCACTGGAAGTTAATTGTCCCTTACAAACAGTAGGCCATTTGTTAATTTTTACCAGGGGGGACAGAACCCCCCCAGCCCTCTTCATCTAATGTCAGTTTGGGTTTGAGAGGGTATGTTTGCTCAGAAGATGCTCTGTGCTTTGTCTCATAGTGGTGCTTTGCATTACTGCTTTTAATAATCATCATGATCTCATATGATGAAATGTGATAATTTTGACCTGCAGTGGGAAGAATGGAGAGTCTGTCAGTGCTCTATTTTCCCTCTATTTTCCCTCCTCTTCTCTCTTTTAAACACTTCATGTGAAATTACTTCCTCCAACTCATATTTTTTCTGACTGTTGTATTTCTCTCCCACGAGTTGCAATGCTTATCAGAAACCACAGACTGCTGAAGAGCATCCTGTGAGCTCACTTTGTGAGTTTCCTGGTCAGCTGAACCAGTGCTGCAAATGCTGCATAGAAAGATTTGTCGAAATTCATGCTTGTATGTGTCTGCTACCTGGCACAAAACAACTCAGCTGAATGCCATTTCGAGTTTGTATTTGGTTATATCTATGCTTTTGATCAGTGTCTCATTTTAACATCATATTTCACATCCCTCTGTGCACCGCAACGTACATAATGTCAGCTAACTAAGCTAAATAAAACTGTTCCACAGCTAGAAACAAAAACATATGATTTCTTGATGCTTCACTGCCTCGTTGGGGTGCTAAAAAAGTGGAGGCCAGCTCAACTTTTATTTGTAGGGCCAAGTGTTGAGTGTCCGTTTGTAGCTTCATGTCACTGGCTCCTATTGAAAATGACTTGTAGCCTGTTGCTGTGTTGCTTGTAGTGTGAACACAGTGAATGAGTACAGTTTTTCTCTGTTGCTTTGGTACAATTGATGAGAGGAAATCATGATTCTAACAACAAAGTTTTAAATGAATAAATCTAAATAAATAAATATATCTACAGTGTCCTTTTGTTCTTGCTTTCACACATAATTCTAATGTATAACCCAAAATATCTAATCCAGTGACGCACTGGGGTAAAAGAATTCTCTAGCAATTTAGCATTGTACTCTTTAAGAAAAGGATCAGAATCAATACAGCCGAACCATCAACATAATTTTTTCTCTCCTTTTTCAAAAACTACTAGAAACTACACTATTTTTTTCAAAATTCAGTCATATTATTCCTATGAGCTAACAGTCCAAAAATATTAGTAAACATGTACATTCCTCTCCATTCCAAAAACTAGAGTGCTAAAATTCTAATTTGTGATATCGTAGGGTACAGCGTCTGAAGCTGCTCCATAGACAATGAATGGTGAAAGATGTTTTACACGACACAGAGAGCACCCAGGGGAACACTACAATAGAGTAAAGCTAATTTGGTTATAAGGGTTACTTCTCTGGTTTCTGGCTATAAGACAGAGTAGCTCATGCTCACGAACATTAATTGAACTCTCCTAAGCCGTGAACATAACATTTTCGTCTTTTTTTTCCTAAGGTTTTTGGCTTTATTTGACAGGACAGAGGTAAGCATGTGGGGGTGGGGGTGGGGGGGGGTGACATGCAGCAAAGGGCCACGGGCTGGAATCGAGCCCATGGCTGCCGCGGCAAGGACAGTGCCTTTGTATGCTGTCCGCCCTAACCACTGAGTCACTGGGCGCCCCCATTTTTTAAATTCTTAATTTAGGTGGTGTTCCCCTTTAATGCATTCTTCTTGCTTGTCAAAACCTGCAGCCTACATTGCCCTTAACGCAACTCAACTGCCAACAGTTTGGTCAGAGATTTGGGTGTGTTATGTTTGTAGCTGCTGTGCACTTTTTTTTCACACAACAGCATCTGTGGATTGAGGGAATATTAAATGTAATCAAATCTTTTGGTTTAAAAAATATCAAAAAATTTGAAAAATACTCACCACAACTTCCCAGAGCCCAAGGTGAAACCTTCAAAATACGTACTTTGTACAACCAACAATTCAGAACCAAATATTCAGTTTACAGTGACATAAAATAGGTGGCCAATCCTCACATTGGAGAAGCTTAAACCAGACAATTGTCTGTTGATTGACTAATCAATTAATCGACCAATCATTTTAGCTCTGTGTGAGTTAAATGTTTTCAATAAGTGATGACTCTTTGCAGGACAAATGAAGTCTTGTTAAAAAAAAAAAGAAAAGAAAATGATGTGGTGAGAACTGTAACAGTGTTCAAGAAAATTGCTTAAGCAATTAAGGGAAAAGAGATTATTACAGCCTGCTGCAATTTAGCCTAACCTGTATCCACCCATATGATAGTGGAAGGTTTCATTAAGCTTACGTGTTATCCTGTCATTGAACGCTGAGTCTCTCTACCATGATGATGTGAGGTGTTTTGCTGCTGTTAGGGCAACTCCGCCTCAGGGAAGATCTCCATTTGTCATTTTCAATGATGTCACTTTCAAATTGATGCCAGTTTCACTAGACTCTTGGCACACGCACACTAATAACATTTTTTTCATACTGTCATGAGCATGTGATAGTTTAAGTCATTGTGACTGTTGCAAAGAAAAGCCCAAGGCCTGTG